AGTTGTGGAATGCAGAGCACCTACTGATAGGCAGAAGCAGATGGGATTCTGTTTTTCACTTTCTCAGCAATTCAGCAAGTGAAGGATGGGCCACAACACATACCATATATAAATATTACTGAAAGTAATACGCTGAAGGACATAGTATTAAAATATTGACATTTTAAGGCATAATAACAAGAAATAACAGTTCTTGATTAACCGGTTTTCACAAACTGTTCTTAGTGTATAAATGCATTATAGAAGTGAACAGCACAGGAAAGCTATACATGAGACAAGGATTTTTCTAGCTAAATTCAAGCCTTTCAGCCATGTTGTTTCCATTTGGTAGATGCATTCTCATTACATGGCTAGAAATATCCAAGTACAGCAGTTACATCAAAGATCCTGGGAATGGCTTCTGTTCTCTAGTAATCATGCCACTCTGATAGATTTTCAAAATAATTCTGAAAAAATAAGCATTAATGTATTCTCTTTACTGAAACACAGTAATTACAAGTAGCTGCTAAACACTGAAATTTAATTTTCATATATCATACTGTCAGACCAAATACTTCATAAACTTTTATTGCTATATCACATGCAGTAGAATGCATGATGATGCAATCAGTATGCAATGGCCAAGGTTATAAAGTATATTTAACACTGCACAGATGCATAAAAAATGTATCATTTCCTGAACTTGACTCTGATATAAAGCTTCACCAACACAAGCCTGAAGAGAGATGTGGTGTTAACTTTTCCATTTTGCATATAGGAACACATGAGAAATACAGCCATATGAAGCATGAGAGGGTCAAATTCCATCTATTGGAATTTTTCCAGAAACATGTTATATCTACCAGATCAAGGCAAAATTGATATTTTGCATGGTAAATTGCCTATAAACACTGGGTATGGAGACATTGATGTTGTCAACACAAATCAGGACTTCATGGTTTTCACAGGCAGACCTCAGAGAATGCTTTTTAAGTTGAGCATCAAACTTGTGGCCTTGCATATAAGCTCCCTAGTATGTGATGTATCACTTGACCACATCAGCTTATTATCTTCAAATCTCAACCCCTGAAATCAGCAACTTACAAACTGTAGAAATTCTCCCAGAATAAGATTCAAAGTCTATCTTAAATAAAAACAAAAATAAAAAGGTATAGGAAAACATTTTCTTTCCAACTGTAAGAAAAACCAGTTGCTGATCTAGTAACGGTGCAGAGGCCTTCAAATTCTGTTGGTTTTTTCCTCACCCTAAATAGTAAATATTTTATAGATGCAACTGAGGTGAGTAGTGCATCCTCTGACAGAAGAGGAGATAGATAGCCAGCAGCTCTCTGTGGGAAGAGATTCATTATACGTCCTGGAAGACACAGTGAAACATAAGTGTACTTTCTTTGATGGTTTTAAAATACAACTGAAAAATAAACTCACTTGTAAATGTTGAGAGTTGTCAGTCATATTGTCTTCTCGCCTACGAACTTCTTCCAACAGCTGTGCATTCTTCTTTTTCTCCATTTGCTGATTGTGCTTCAGATTGGCAACCTTCTTATTTTGGTCCTTCATATGTCTAAGAATTGTACACACATACCCATTAGTGTTAATGACTGCAATCACCTTTTTTTCAATAGAAATTAAGTCCGTGACTATGACACAGGACATTGACTCTCCAACAGACACAAATATTCAAAGTATTAAATGCAACAATAAAACTTCACCTTGTTTTCAAGATTGCATATCAAAACAGCTTTAAGATTATACAGTGGTAAAGCAACTATTTTGGTTCACAAGATTCTTCCCTTTCTATCATTTGCTCACAAATACTTATACATGTTATGAGCTTTATGCAGAAAAACTGTTGTGATGTTATCCAACAATCCTTACACACTCAGTGTGTTTGGGAACATTTTTAATAGATGCTTTAAGTAGCATTAATTTCAAAAAAAGCAGAAGGTGAAGCTGATGACTAATGTATGTTGTGAAATTCTATTTTTTAAGAACCTGGGCTACAAATAGAGTTTCTGAGGATTAAAGTGTGATGAGGTAGAAGGTCAGGTCATAAATATCCCATGAAGAATAAAGGATGCCTTTACAAATAGCTCTGTGTATGAGAAAAAAAATTCTATTTTTGTAATAATGAGACTTCTTTCTACAAAAGATTATCAACAAATACAGTTATGAGCCATTCCTAATGAAAATTAAACAATCTTTGCCACCATTATACACTTTCTTTTGTTAAGACTGTACTAAAGTAAAACCAATTTTATAATTGTTTCAATATTTAATTTTCTTTTACTATGGATCTTATCCATTAAGTTACCAAAAGCTTTCCTCATACTGATACTTAGCATACATCCTTTTAAAAAAAAAAGACAAGCTAATTTTCCCTGTCAAGGAAGGCAAAATTATACTTGCAGTAATGTTTTCTACCTGCTTGGATTCTTAGATATTATTTTCCTGACTTTGACTTTGAGGAATTTGCTCCCTTTTATCTATAAAAAATGAAGTCACGTGCAAATTCCTAATGAGATCTACTCACTAATCCTATTTTGGCAAATGAAGAGAACATTTTTCAATGCCCAAAAGGATCACAGAAAATCTCTGTTGCTTCCACATTAGAACTTTCAGTGAAAGTTTCAGGTATAGAATATATTTCTAGCACTGATTTTATTATGCTAAAGAAACTAAGCCATTTTATATTTACTTCTACCACTGCTTTCTTTGTCCTACCAGTGGTTTTGTCACCACTTATTTATACTGAAAAATTAGTAATTAAATTGCAATCAATAAATGTTGCCATGGTATTAAAAATACTTAGAAGACACTTAACTACAAGCTTGTAAGTACAGAACATAACAAATAAAATCTAATAGATTATAACTAAAAAAACCCCATAACTTCAACTTGCCCAGAAAAAGAAAAGTGTGTACAACTAGTTCACATCAACATTGTTGGTTTTTAAAACAATCTACATCAAACTTACAGATAATTTTTTTATTAATTCCTCTACTTGAAAAACAGATTTATCCTATAGTTGTGTTTAAGAGTTTGCATCAGGCTGTTAAAGCACAAACAGATTAGACTAACTGATCATCTGTTTTACAACATTCGTCTTCATTTTTTAATGCTAGATATAAAACTTGTGAAGACTGTACATACTGAAAAGCTAATCTAACCCCCAGGATGACATTGTTTCTAGAAAACAGACCAGGTTCAGAAACAAAAGGGAAGAAAAATTAGAAGTCATCCTTAAAAAATTTATTTCTTTTTAGTGCAATTTTTTCTATATTACACAAAAGAGTGATTAGAATATGATCAGCTGAGCTTCTCCAGGCTGAACCAACTTTAGTCAGGAGTTAGCATTCTGCAGCACCTGAGATTTTGAGACCTTAGCCTGACTCCACGAGAACTACCTCAAAAGGCCTGGGAGCATGCCATAAATCACCAGCACTTTAGCTTAGTGTTTTGAGAAAGCTTAATTTTCTGAAAAATGCAACACTGTCACAACTAACCAATATTAAGCATCAACATGACAGTGCTGAAAACCAGCAGGGATATTTCTGGCAAAGTTTCACTGCCAGATTGGTAAGAATAAAACTCAAAAAACCAGAAATTGCTAGTTCTTGAGTTGTATATTTTTACTAAATTTCTTCAAGAATTTGACAGTGATGACATTTGTCTTTCTAAATCAAGTATTCAGATAGAAGATCTGTACAAATCTGAGTGAAAATCAGTTCTCTGTCATGGGTCTATGTCTCATAATTTTAAGCATAAAACCATAATGGATATTAGAAAAAATTAATTTCACAACTTCATATATAAATGAGGTATTTGGCAGAAATTTTGGTGGTGCAATATGACTTTGTGCTGTTAAAACATAAATTGGTTTCCAGTCTCATGTTGAGTAAATGATAAATTCATTAATATTTAATCTCTTTAAGAAGTTCAATTTTATGCCAATGCTAACTGCTTCTTTCATCACCCTTTGCTCACACAACTTCCCATTTCAGCTTCTGTCTAATGCCACACTGAAAAGTAGAACATGGTAAAGCTGCAAAGGAAAACATCTGGTGCCTGTGATATGCAAAATCTAGAAGTGAAGGAAATAAAAGAAAGCTCTGTTGTGGACTCTCTTTATTCTACAACTGGCTACATACCTATGGAAATTAAAAGAAAATGCTACAGTTAAAAAGCCTAGCTGAGGAGTTTTCTTTTAGGCCTGCATTAAATGTACAGGGGGAGTTCAATGCAGTAAATAAATACAAGAACATATTCCCTATCGATTTTTTTTAAACAGTAATTATCGAATATAAACCTCGATAAATACAAGAACATATTCCCTATCGATTTTTTTTAAAGAGTAATTATCAAATATAAACCTCAATCCAGCAGAATTTTTGAGTTGCTTGCTCTGGTATGTTTTCATGTGGCTCTGTTTCTAAAATGCTTTGGAATAAAATAGAAGATTAGAGTAAGTAAAAAATATGCATGAGAAGCAGAAAAATATTTGGGAACAGTACCCAATCACCACAAAATATCACATGCCATGACCATATAGGATATAAAATATCCTCATAGTTTACTACTAGCTATGCTGATATGCATAGTTGAGTCTACATTACTCTTTATCATGTAGAATTAGTTTCATGTGTTCACTGTTTGAATTTAAAGCTCTAAGACCACAAAATTCATTAGACAGAATAAAATAAATAAAACATTACTGCTTAAGACATGTGTCTTCAAAATCTGAAATGTATGCTGCAGGGGTCTGCTCTGTAGAATTGCTCTTACCATCATAAGTTCATAATTTTCTGGTACTAAAATACATGCAAAACAATCTCTGCTAGTGCAATTGCCCCAAAGCCCTAAGATGAAATCCACTGTGCTCTGATTTTCCACACCGTTGTTTTCCACAGTTCATTTTTAAGTTAGGTATCTGTGATCTTTTAGTGAGCTAAATTCTTTAACCACTGAGCTCAGCCCCACAGTAATCTCAAACTAGTTATAAAACAATACCATGCTGCATTTGTGATTTTACAAAGTTCACAGAACTGGAAAGCCTGAATACAAACTAGTTCTAAAACACCCAAGTCCAGAGCACATTGAAGTGGTGCCAACACCACATTTGGCTTAAAGAAAAGATGTTCCAAGCTCATAACATTTAAGAAGAAAAAAAGCAGACTAAAAAGCAATGTAAATGTCTAACTCTTTGCAGAGATGTTTAATCTTAGTGAAATATTAAAAAGGCAGGTTAAAGACCCTCTTTCAGATAACAAATTTAAATTTGTTTCTGTTCCTATGCATATAACCAGTCAGCAATTGCCATAGAACATCTAACAGCTTAGGACTGAAAAAGAATTCAGAGTGGAGCTAAGCTGTCTTCAAAATAGAGCTAGTACAAGTATATCTTGAAGAGTTTAAAATAAATAAAATGAAATTTAAAAAACACCTAACAAACATACAAGCAAACAAAAAAACAAAAAAACCACAAAAAAAAGAACCCAAAACCAAAGCAAACCAAACCAAAGTTAATTCTGTTCTGTTCCAGAGTTACAAACTGAAATGTCATGGAAATCTTCCAAATCATATGATTATTCAATATAAAGATGCAGTACCCAGTGACCAACCATAAATACTGGCTGACAATAATATTGGAAGTTAATAAAGAGATTAAGAATACCAGGTATAAGAAAATTTTCTAAATAAAATTTTACTATTTTAGTACATTAGACAACCTCTCCTACTGAAAAGAAAAAATGATTATATAAAATAACCTGTGTCTCTGGAAGCCACCTTAGTACACATTCAATTGAGTTCATTAATTTTTTTAACCTAGATCAAGCCACTGCTTGTAATTGAAAATGCATTCACCTTAGATATACTACTCCAGTAAAAATCAGCTAGTCATAATTTCCCACTCCTCTTCCTGAAAGTTTCTGACCTAGGATAATTTTTGACAATCTTTTTCAACACACAGAATGCTCCACAGACATTAATTTCCACCTCAGTTGAACGCTAGACTTAAAATCAAGTATCTAAAACCACAGCAATGCCTACCTCTGTTTTCCTCAGCCTGCAAGAATTTTTTCCAGAAAACTGGCCTTAGAATTCCAACACTGGAATCAATAGACTGTAGCAGCTCTGACTTCTGATACTGCTGAAGAACCATCATCTATGACTGCTAAATAATTAGATATTTAGAATATCATAGATGTGACCAAGAGGGAAAAGACAAAAAAATCTTAAACAGCCCTTTAGCTTTACCTGTTAGGAAGTCGAGTCCAAAGAACCTGGAGCCCAATATTCTTGCTGTACAAACAGCAAGATGCCCCTACTTCAATTGCATTTGCAGTTCAATATATTTCATTTTTTAAATTGAATTATCTTTGTAAGAAATAGACACCAGTGTCATGGAGACACACAGACATTGATCAGAAGAAAGATAAATAGCAAACGAGCAGGAGCACATGGTTCTTGCTACTATGAATATCACTGTAATCACCACACTTAACCATATTTGTTTGTGGTTTTTTTCTTGTTCTTCTGGACTAGCACACAAATTGATCTTCT